CTTGGCCTTCCGAAGAGACCTCGACGAAGGGACAACCAATTTCGGAGTTGCAGGGTTGGTTTTTGAGCTTTGACCCGGTCCGCAGAAGCTGTCTACATTTTTCACTTGCGAATCCATCTGTCAGAATATGTACAGTATTTCGATTCTTAGCGAAGAATTTGATATTGGTGTTCATCATACCGTGAGGAACGCTGTGAGCACCCACCCTCGCCCATTGGTACGAAGTGAGGAATATCCTTTGAGCGACCACTGGATTGCAGGAACATCCTCCAAAAAGCAGGAAAACAATTGCAATAGTTCGATACATAGATCATACATCTCCTTTACGACTCCTCTGTTTCAGGTACTGAGCTGAACCTTAAGGCCTTAGGGGCTAATGGCAGAAGTTCCGTAGGGTTCAATGCACGATTTGCACCGGGCGTGCGTTGATTGTTATGCTTTTGTGCGCCAACTTTTGTCGGGCCATATGGCCATATCATATAAATAGTGATCGAAACGACCGGTTCTTGACAACGAAGTGTGATAAATGTCAAAGAACTGTTGGTAATGGTCTTGATGTGGAAGCAAAATGCGACCTTCCTCTACCATCCAACGCCCAATTGAATGAAGAAAAAGCCAGGCAAGCCAGGCTAGCCAGGCCCTGGAAGTCACACGTTCACCATCGTCACAGTAAAGTACAAATGGCGTGAGATATATCGTGCATATATCTATATTAATTGATCCAATGATATTAGTCTAGTAATCCCCGTGTGAATACCGGGGCTACCCCAGGCCCCCCCTATTTTATGGTAAAAACCAGGCTTGACAGCCCAGTTGACTCTCTATAGGATTGGTTTCTGAGCAAAATGTATACACTGAGCTCACTACAAAATAGGTGAACACCCTAGCTTGGAAAAGTGACTCTTACTTTCATTGCTTCACTATAAGATTTGAAATGGAAGCATCAGGGAAGAAAAATCAGCTGCACACAAAGGATCTGTCCACTGTTGAATCTTGAGTCCTCTATTTCGGATCAAAGAAAGTGGATTGCACTGGCCACTCTAATGATTTCCAGCTTCATTCCGTTCTTTGTTTGTAAATACTAAATGCATCTAAATACATTATTGATCATTGTTGTATATTTGTGTTCTTTCCGACAACTTCTTTTAGGAAAAAAGCGGTGCCATTCCGTAAACCTCTATAGAATTTGAAATGCACATTCTGCTCTTATAGAATCAGGAAATCCAGCTGTCATTTGTTTAATTTCCAAAAAAATATGAATCTCTATAGAATATCAATTTGAATCATCTATCATCATCTATCCAGACCATTCACTACAGAATACAAAAGAACCATAGCTTATTTATTCTATAGTGGTGCCAAATTCTGTAGAGCAAAAAAAACTCAATTCTCTATAGAATCTCTTGGTGCCTGGGCTCCAAATTCTGTAGAGGGGAAATGGCACCGGGATGTCTAGTATATACATATATATTAGTTGTGTTTTAGTGGAAAAAAAAGGTCTATCCTCTTGCCGATCTTGCTGCGATTCATTTGTATAGTTTGCTTCATTTTCTTCGTTGATGTGTGAGTTGGTCCGTTTGATATTGAAAATGAAGCTCGGGATCATCAAGTATCATCAACCTATCCAGCCCTACAGGGGCAAGGAACAAACCCGCCTTGATACCATTGATGGACAAGTTCTTCTGCACCCGAGAGACACCTTCACCGTTCACACCCCGAGACATGGTAGAAGATTTGATAGGATCTCTACCCACCTGCTCAAATCCAAGCAATCCACCCCAGTCAGCCTGGTTGTCGCGCCAATCCTTGCCACCGGCTGACCCCGAAAAGACTGCACTAATGTCACCAACCACGCCGATGACGAAGAAAGAAACAAACTCCTCTCTCATGTGTTCGCGTTCAAGAGACGTACAGTCGCTCTAGCCTGTCGGCCGAACGTTCAAAGCAGATCACATGAAGCCGATGTGGCAAGAGGCCTGCATTATGTCGGGAGTCCGGAGGTTGTTATTTGTTTGACTGTGTCTTGAAGTAAATAATGCTTCACGGTGTTCCCCTGAACCTCATTTTTCCCAAAAAGAGTTCTGCGGTCTGCTGTGGTCTGCAGACAGAAGAGGGAAACCCCCCCAAAAGTGGGCGTTTGATAGACTATTCCAAGGTTTCACCCAGACTTTCAAGCACCACCCGCGCTCCGGTCGACCCCAAAACCCTACTCCACCGACCGGGCCGAGGAAGACCCGGTGAGGACCCGGCGAAGCGTTCGTGAAGACAAGTCGAAGCTTGTTTGTTGTTTTCTCCAGGGCATTATGAGGTAAAACTCGCGCGGTTGTCATTGATATGTGGAGGACTCGGTGATTGTCCTGCCAGCAGATATCGAAAAAAGAACAAAACACGAGTTTCTAGACTGAGTAAATGATTCTAAGTAAGACGTTCTGTCGCCTGAGACAAGAGGGCGGGTCCAAATCCCCATGACAGCAGGTTCGCCATTCTGCGCACCTGAGGTGCGGAAGTTGCATCGTCCCCTTCAATTGAAGTACCAGGTACTCACCTTATTGCCTACTCCCGCCCCTACCGGGCCAATAAGCTTCCAACCGGGATGAACCTCACACTTCCTCTCCTCGCAATGCCACACTGCCACCCCGCCATCCTTCGCGACGTCCGGATCCGTGCCTTCGCTTTGCAGCCTTTGCAAACTTGAGGGAATAATATGCCTTTCTTTCCTCCCTGGACAGCCGGAACTTTCCTGCGCGAGTCATTGTGTTTCAAGAGGCCGTAGACCAAGCGTTGCGGAGAAAAAGAATCCACTGGGCCCCAACTGGACCCAGTGGGCACCAGAAACTGGCTGCATGGATAGAGGACTCAGAGCTCACCCGGCATCAAAAGGACCCGTAGTCGTTGCTCAAGGGGTTTTATGTATCACTTGGGATTTCATCACACCACCTGGTTTCATCAGTGAGCTGCCAGTTGGGAAGTGAAGCAAGTTAAATCCAAGACACACACCCGTGAACACGGCATGTTCTTGCGCTTTTCAGAAGGAGAAGCTCCCGTTTTTGCGGACAAAATGCAGATCGGCCCTGGAACGAGGGTCCAAAAGTCAAAAATGAAACGACAAATTCTTGCTAGCGGGTTTTCGGATTGCGCGAATCGCTCTACCACTTTACAAACCGGAGGGGTGCGGGGGTCTCTTGAGGTGTATCCAGCGATGGTGTATCCAGAATTCTCTGGTTTTTCTTCTTTGCGTTGGCAGCAACACGTTGCTGCGACGAAACCGTGCGTGGCTCGCTGGCTCTGCAGTTCTTCTGTGGGGTATACCCTTTTACGATAGAGCAAGAAGAATTGATGTCCTCCGTCGGGAACTGGATGAAATCGGTCTTTTTTGTTTGTACTTCAAGCTTTAAACTCAGGAATATGACAGTTGGCCGTGGCGATGGCATCACAACGAAGTCCAAAGACCTCCTATAGAATGCTGTGGAAAGTCCAGCAAGAGACTCACGTGAGCATGAGTTCATCATAGAGAAAAGGTCACCCAAAGAACGCTCAAGACGAACTTGTTCTGGAACGTGTTCTTCAAAAAAAGCGGGACGCTTGAACACTAGAAGTTCTGTTCGCCATGTTGAAAGAATCAGCTTTCAGACATCCGAAACAGCGCCTGCGCAGAGCTGTTAAACCGCAACTGCACGGCCATGAGCCCGGAGAGGGACGTTTTGGACAGGCTAAAGGATCAGCAAAAAAAAGCCTTTCAAGAAGTCGTCCCACTGCCCCAACACGAGCGTCGCACGGTTCAGGTTCTTAGACTCGGGCCTTTCTTTTGGAAAAGCTCTTCGAGCTCAATCTCTTCGGGCGTTTCGGCCCAATTGACGAGCCCGGGGCCTGCGGGCGGTCTCTGCCGCGCGTGAACATCTGGATAATGCAGACAGGTCGTCTGCATGAGGTATGACTCATGTATGTCTGTGGCATTAATCACAAATAGCTCAAAAAGCATCAAAAAGCACAAAACGTTCAACACCCCGGCAGTCAATAGTCAAAAAGATCTCATGGATTCTAGTGGAATCATTGACTTCAAAACTTGGTCATCTCCATCCATGTCCTGTTGTCTTCCACATACAAACACCCAGAAACACCCAGAACCATCACCTGCACACACATCTGCCATTGCGACTACCCGCAATGGAGTCCGATGTTTCGTGAATCTTGAGCCAACTACCCGCGGGAATCCGACGTCGCCAGGGCTCCCTCGTCGGGCTTCGTCTCTGCACATCCATGGATCCTCGAACCGCCTGGCCAATACGAACAGGAACCATGTGACACATCATGTGGCCCAGTGACCGACCTGGTCTTGATACAAGGTCCACGATATCAGTATATCCTATGACCAGTGGATGGATAGGTTGCAGTGCCTTTAAAAAGATTGATACTTGTTGACCGACTCCTACAGGTCAGAGGACACTGGCGTCGTGCTCTCTGCGTTCAGTGGAAATTCCGAGGGCAGGCTCCGTCGGAGTCTCGCTCGTCAATTCATCTTCCTTTCCAGATAGGAGGCCTTTTCTCTTCACTTTGATGCACTTTACCAGGGTAGTAACAAGAAGCTAGTAGAAACAAGTGCCTTACTAGTAGTAACAGGTGCCTTACTACTAGTAACAAGAAGCTAGTCCAAACACTCCACGTCCGATTCCATCCACCGCTCTTTTGTCCGGTGCGTCAAGTGAGGTCGTAGCACGAGGTGTTTCCACAGAGGCGGCCAAAGCGCAAAGGGTTCCTTGGAGTGCAAAAGTGCAAAGATGCATTTGGGAGGGTGATGGCCTACAGCAGGCGGCAGTGCTACTCAAGAAATACCTTCACCCAAGCGTGTACGGAGTATATGCAGGAAGTGGAAACCGGGTAAAGCCTCGTATAAGATACAAGAGGTTTCCCTCATCAAAGGGTCTCCACTTGCGTTTCCTTCTGTATTTCTCTGACACAGAGCCCACTGCAAACTTCACGTTTTGGAGTACTTGGCAGGAAGGACTTGGCAGCAAGGTACTGCCAAGTTGAGTCGAAACATCCCAAGCACATGCACCAAATCGCCCAACAACATCTACAGATCTATACATAGACCTATGATGTGTCATAGTATTTGACCAAAATCACCATACCAGGAATGCTTCTCGGCATCCTTCGGCCATGCGGCGGCAGGGAGGCGTCCTCGCTGAAGAAGGACTCCGAAGAAGACTGAGACGCCAAAGCACCTTCCAAGTGAGTGAAGATCAACCTCAGCTGAACCAGATGGGCGATCCAAATCCAACATCCACCGTCCAGCCCGTTTGGCGAAGCGCCGCTTTTCGGACCCGACCCCAACAGTGGAGGCGCGCTTTTTGGTCCCCTGCCCCAAAGGTGGTCACCTCGCAGATCTCCCTTTTCAAACGTCAGCAGACAGAGGAAAAAAAGAACGTTTTCAACATCTGTTTCTGTTGTATCTTGTATTGCGTTCTGTTGTATCTCTCCAACCCTGGCACAAAAAAGCACCAGTCCGCCTACTCCGATTGGGTGCCCCAGGCCGGTTGTTGTAGACCACCCGGGGGAAGTCCTTGTCACTGGGCCGATACGGCGACGTCAGCTGCTGGAGGAAGTTCCGAGACTCCTGGAGGAAGTCGGTTGACTCAACGGAAGTCGACCCAGTGGCGGAAGAGTGGAGAAAGTTCAGAGACTTCTAGAAGTGGATACAGAGGTTTAAGTATACTCCGTACATGTAGAAGAAGCGGATGAGAGACTAGGAAACTTCAAGGTCTCCATCCACCTTTAGCTTTGTTATTGGATGGCACCCCAAGCACGCTCCACCCGCGGGCCTGTCCAATGCGCTCGATGTGTTGCCAGGTGTCGGCATCGACACGGCCACGGAAGGCCATCTGCAAATGGTCGATGGCGAAGATCCAGGTGTTCATCGCAGAGCGCACCTCTATCGCCGAGGTGGCCCACTGCAGTGATGATTTTCCTCTGGGTGAACGGTGTCATAATTACGTGTTCATTGAAGTGTTCTTCGCCAATGAAACACCTATTATGTACTGAAAGTACTGTAGCTTGTGCTACTGTAGAGCCGGTACCAGCAGGGACCTCCAAGGTGGTGCGAAGCGCAGTACGTGCAGATCATCGAAACATATCATGACCCCACTCATGACCCCACTTGCAACTGGACTTCGGGCCCTCAAGCCCTTGCAGCCGTCTTTTGCAGATCTCTAGCCGCTCTAGCCCTCAATCCTGTTCTTGAGTCCCACCTAGGTCCCACCGGGCGTTCTAAAGTGCTCTCCCAGTGGCGTTCGGGCACTCCTGGCGGACTGGACTGTCATCAGAGCTGGACTGTCATCTCCCAAAAATCGCCACCAAAGTTCCATAACCACCGCCAGACTCGTAGAAAGTGGCTTTTCAACACCTTTCATTCTCCAGAACCACCAGCACTCACTCACATCTTCCCCATCCCATCCCATTCCGTCCTCCCCTTTACCAGCATCGCACTTCTTCAGCCCCTCACTGTTCGCCGCGCTGTGTGCCACCGCAGCCGGCAGGAGCGCTTTCGGCGCACAGGCCTTCAGGCCGCTGATCCAGTGGGGCAATGAGGCGCGACCTCCGCGCAAACGGGCAGACCGGCGGCAAGAAAAGCCGACTGGCAGGGTGGGCGTGGCTGGACCGATAGCATGTAGTCAGAGGTCATCCACTTACTAAGCTAAGCCACCAGTGGATGCTTTTACAGTAGTCCTGTTTGCGGACGACTGATCACAAGTTGAACAACCATGCCTGAAATTTTAGGACCTCCAGCAAGAAAGCTCAAACCTCCATGTATATAAATGGATGCGCAATGTATGACCAAATGGAAAAAGATCCCTGTCCCTTTTTTGATGGATCTTCGGGTGGGTCTCCCTATTTTAAGATACAACCATATACAACCATGCCTTTTAAAAGAAAATGTCCTGCTTGAGCTTTGTTTAAAGTTTCGACGTTGCTCTGACAGGCGCCAAACCTGCCAAAAAACACGCGGCGCGTCCACCGCCTTCATCGGATTTCCGGAGGAAGCACTTCTTGGTTCCTATGCGCAGGCAAGCGGGTTTGTCTGAGACCAAGACCAAGCAGGAAAGCTCGGAAAGCACCGGTAGAGAGAAGCTCCAAATGCTCAAACCCGGTTGATGGATAGATTAGAATGTTTTGCTGTTCAAGATAGATTAGAATTTCGAATTGTTTCTTCCGGAAGGCGGTCGCATGTAATGAAGCCGTCTGCATTCCGAAGCCGAGAAGGTTGAACCCAGATTCATCGTCTGATCACAGAAGCTCTATAGTCTATAGTACTCAATCGGAAGTTGTTCTACTTTGTTTCACATCAATCGTCACGTGGTTCTTTTTGCCGAAAATTGTCCGTCACATAGCGTCACTACCTTGTGCAAGCAAAGATTTGCAAAGGGATGAACGTTCTGCCTGAATGCAAAGAGGCACAATCAACTGAGACTATATAATTACAAGAAAGCAGCACTACGACAAACTGTAAGAAGGAAACCCTGGAAAGTCAGGGTATCCAAGGTGTTCATTCCAAACCAGCTGGTGTGCAAATTCCAAGATGGCCTAACAGGAGAATAGAACCGATCCAAAAAGAATCAAAACGAAGTTCATATGTAAACGACTGTAAATGTAATGTTTGTCTTCAACTGCAGTGACCCCTGTGCCATCCTGTGCCCCACTTGTCCCACGGTCCACCTGCCCATTCCATCCAGTCCAGGGGGCCGTACTGCTGCCCATAGCTCCAAGCCGTACACCCTTCCACAGCTGCACAGGCCCGTGCGCAGATGCCTGGGTCCACCGCTTCAAACTTGTCGGTATTGGAGCCTCGGGCCAATGGTCAGGTCGGGCCAATGGTCAGGTCTGGTCCTGCGTGTGATGAAACAGACCATGCAAACCAAACCATGTACACAAACTCTTCATGCTTGTGTGTTGGAGTGAAGATCCCTGTCGTGTGTGCTTTCAGCATCAAACCCCAACTCCGAAGGATCTTCACACTTTGATGGTCCCTGGGCGCTGAATGTCCGCTGCACAACCACAGAATTGCTGGAGGCAAGTGGCAATTCTTCAAGAAACACCCCTGGTGCCCGTAGAGAGAGAGGTCCGCGAAGACCGCATGTGCGCCAGCATGGCGCAAGACCACGTCGCGGACGAAACAGCCTGGATAGGCCTGCCCAGAAAAGCAAAATCCCTATGATCGGTTCGACTGGATCAGTTCGAAGGCCACTGGATCAGTCCATCTACAGGATGTCCAGCTGGACAGGTCCTACATCGGTTTCTATGTCTTTCTACCGGGTCCTTGAAAATTCATAAACCGATGTCCAACTCCTATTTCAGGGACCAAAAAGACATATTACTCGTTCGGGGACACAGGAAAAAGAACACCGACGAAATGCGTCCCTTCGACCAATTCTCCCGACGAAGCAGCAGAGGAACCTGGATCGACACGGAAGAAGCTTCAACGAGCAGGGAATCACGACCGCCTTTGGAGAATAGACCCAAAAACCGGCGTGGAATGTACACGGACCATGATGGTGTACCCACATAGAGCCATGTTTAAAAACGTCAGAAATTCTTCCGTTTGTTGTCACGTCGGCGGATTTGTCTGTCGTGTTGTATATGAATCCTGAGGCCAGAAAGTCCGAGGTCATTGATCCCAGGTCACTGAAACCTCAAGTCTTCTGAGGAAAAATCCTGGCTTCTATGATTCCTGGGCGTTCAGGGATTTGGAGACTGTCACCCTGAGGGCGTGTTTTTTCAAAGTTTTATAGGCACCATTCGGCATGGTGATTCCAGCTCAGGCAGCCATGTCCAAGCAACTTGAGATGTGCTGAAAACATCACTTTCCATCGCCCAGCGTTTGTAGGATTGCTGTTCGAAACTCCCAGATGTTGAAAACAAATGGATTGCAAGAAGGGACAGAAGAAGCAACCACCACATGTTCCTTAAGCAAAAAAAAAGCAAGAGCGAAAGCTTCTGCACACCATGGCACACCCCCAAAGCCCAAGCATTGGCAAAGCCCAAGCTTGGGCCTTTCACCTTGGTCCTGTGCGTCCGACGTGCGGGGCCGGCTCGCCGCTGCGACGGCCCGCTGAGCCTCGGAGGACTCCGCCAGCGGCGCAGGCAGGGGCGCCTCCGAGTCGATGCAGCAGCGCTCGAAGGTGAAGTCGCCTCCCCAGCAGCCGCTGTTCCCCTGGCCGAAGCATCTCGAAGCATCTCGAAGCATGCGATTCCAAGCGGAGCTGTTGAAAAATTCCTCTGAGAGCTGACAGAAGGGAACCTGGAAATCTGATTTTGGTGGATCAGGGTGGCAAGGTAGCTGGGGAAAATCTGAGGGAGTCCTACATGCAGTCCACTGGGAGAAATGGGCAAGGTCTGGGCGCGATGGGACAAACTCTAGAGCCGACCCCACTCGAAGCAGCAACTATAGTTGGATGGGACGTCCTATCTGGACACGGGTGCTTAGGTGCAGCTTCTGGCAAAGTTGATGAGGGTGGCTAGGGGCACAGTTGTTGGACGAAAGGAGGCAAGGCAAAGAAAAGAGATTGAAAGGCGCTACAAGCATGTCTTGCCAGTGTTCTTCTTCTTTGGGGTCAAGCAAGTCTACATGTTGATGAGTCTACATGTCGTGGTTCTGGGAAAGATCTGGGGCATCTACCAGGACCATCCTGTCTGGTTGTCCAATCGGAAATCCATATACAAATATATATATATATATATTGTGTAGGCTAGTCCAGCGACACCCAGACAGGATGCTGCTACCAGACAGGTGACCTTTCTGACTACCTCTTCGCCGGCCAAACGGCCGCACAAATCGGACTCTCCGTGCCTCCGGCCCAAATCTGGGCGCGCCTTAGGGCGGGGGTCTTCGATCGTCGATGGATGCCTAATCATCCAAGAACTCCGTGATATCAAATAGATCATCCTCAGAAAAGGTCAAAATATCGGACATCTCCAAGTCAATTGGCAACCCCAACCTCCAAACACCATCGTTGAAAAGGCTCAGATCCGTGGCATCTAGAGTACACTCAACGTGTATAAAGTTCAAGACCAATTTTGGCAGCAATCTTGGTGTCGAAAAAGCGCGCCACCGATGAATCTTGGATGAACCTCACCCATAATTTAAATGTGTTACAGAGACAAAATAGAATATAACAATACAGCAAAATCTACCATACTCTGCCTGCACAAACAAGACAAGATCGAACTCAAACAATCTCACAAGCTGTTTCTCGGAAGGAGCATTGGCTGGGCACCCCAAAACTCTGCTTGCGCACCGCAAAACAGAAAAAATAGACACTCTAAAAAAGTGACCATTGCAGGAAACCAGCATCCCGGAAACTCAAACCCCGGGAGGCACATATCTTTGACCATTCTTGACCATCCTTCCAAACGCTCTGCAAGCACGGGGGGGGTCCACCCTGAGACCAATCAGCATCGCTTTCATCAGAGGTGCAGCACTGTTCCCAGGTGACGCCATCCACCCAGCAGCTTTCATCACCCTTCCCCAGCACTGGACATGGCAGCAGTGCGACCAGCGGCCAACAAAACCGGCGGCGCATGGGGGATGGGGTGAGCGTGGGAAGTGTGGGAAAGGTCGAGGTGAAGGATGTGGGACTTTTCCCCGGAGGAAGGGCATGGATTCCGATAGATTCTACCATTCTACACACTTGACAAACCGTAGGCCGTACGTTGACAAAACGTTGTTTTATATCCAATGTTATATAGAAATGGCTTGTGATATGTGATTTGCATCGATGTCCGATTAGATAGGACCCCTCTCGTTGCTGTTGCGAACCACCATGGCTGGATGATGTTTTCAGTCCAATCCCACCGTGTGAAACATATCAACATCTGGAGCTTGCGGAGGCCGGAACTTGACCTTTCCTGGGTTGGTGGAGTTGGTAAATAAATCATGGAAGGTCACCAACCAACCCCTTCTTGTCACTGCGCACGGAGTTGATCGGAGCATGGGGAGTCGTGTATGGGACATCATGTAAGATCTGAACTGCCATGAAGCTAGCAAGCACCTACCCTCGCACCGTGCACCCCAAAAAATGATTTTGACGTGCTGTATATGTGGAGCGCGTGCTGTTTATCTACATAAGGGATCATAAGGGATGTTTGTAAGTAGCACCTCTACAGCAAAGATAGACCACCTGGTAGATGAAGAGTAGCACCTGCCTCCGGAGAGGAAGGAACAGGCGCTGGCTCGCTCTCGTACCCGAACAGCGGAGAAGAACCAAGCTAAGAACGGAGCCAGAAGTTCCCAGACTGAGAAGAAATTCCATCAAGTTCAGCAAATCCACAGATTCAACCATGTTTACACTGTTCAACAACCACAACCACGGAAGCTGCCAGAAATGTTCAATTGCGTTTTCTTTTGTAGATATTTATACCAAAGGTGGACAATCAGCTTCTATGCCTATTTGTTGGCATTTGCGATTTGGGAGATGATCGAAAAGCCCGCTCCTTTAGGCAAAATGCATTGACTTGTGACGAGCAACTACTTGTGCCCATGTCGGCTTATATGCACCTCCATATTTCACAGTACCAAAAGGGTCTCAGCGAAAATGCGGATGAATGATGTGTACTCTCTGGAAAAGAGTGGAGAACAAAAGAGAGTGGCCCGTGCCCCATCAATAAACCGTTTGATCAAGAACGTCAGAATGTCATTGATTAAAGCTCCTGACTCTTGTCCCTCTTTCGGCACCCGAACTCCCCAAGTCTTCATGCAATCAAAAGAAGAAAAAAAAGAAAGAGGTCTTCCATGGTTCGGGCATTGCAGTGGTGAGCATGCACAGCCCAAGAAAACAGGCCACCACGAACGAACCCAGATGCGCTCTGCCAAACATCTCTCTGAACAGGTCTTCAGATTCCACAGAAAGGGTAAGGACTCCTATATACTGCAGCCCATCCGCCTGACCTGAGCCACTAAACCGCCCACGACCGAAAAAGGATCCAAGGATGGTGCGATTGTTAGGATCCGGGGTGGTTCACCCGGTGAAAATACGGTCCGGCTGCTGGTGCTCGGTTCGGATCCGCATACGCATAGACTTGACCGAATAGAACTGCCCAAAAGGCTCAACCCTGGGCCACCCCGGTCTCATGTCTTTTTCTGCGCAGACCACACATCCCTTTTTAGGGGCATGGTGGGGCGCGCAGGACGAAGCTAGGATCAATCTGGGCAAGGATATATATCATATTTTTCTGTCTTCGGTACTCCAAACCACACATATCACTAACACAAGTGATATCCAGTCTACCCAGTGGTTGTTGATTAGCTGTCGGCATAAATCAACCAATCCCCCAGTCGCAGGGCAGCTTCGACACCCTTCGAGCTTCAGGACTCTTTCCGGTCACAAATGCACTCACAAAAGGGATTATTTGAGGGTGAGTGGTGTCCACTGCATCTGACTCTCTTGAACTCACTGCTCTACATATTTGTGTTGGTCCATCCATGTTCTCACGGTGTGGAACTATATTCCTGATCGACCACATGACTTTTGCCCAAATCAATCATCAAATCTATCCTCGAATCGAAATCAAATGTGAGAACAGAACAGGAATGTTGCCTTCAGCACAGTCGGAAATTGGAGGTACCCGATATGTCCTACGAGTATGTCTTTCCTGTCATCCCATAAATCACTCAGATTCATCGTCAAAGAACTCATCAATGTCGTCTTGGCCAAGGTCCTTCCGCATTCCAAGAAAGCGCCGCTTCTGAAGATGGAATGCTTTTGTTTTGGTGTCATTGGAACTGCAAACTTGCGAGAAGTTGCCCGAAGTCCAAAGTTGCATGAGTTGCCGCGTCAACAAAAGGCATCAGCTAGGGGGTCAGTCAAAGGGCTCTTGCAAAGACAATGTATTCTCAAGGGTGACTTTGAGACATTGAGATTGTTTGAGGCACCCGTTTCAATCTGACACAACCTTCCCGCAAAAAGGGATCTTGCAAAATGGCCAGCAGGTTGAAAAATTCCATGGCAAAAAGTACACATAGCATGTTTCATGTTAGAGTAAATTGTGTGTTTGTGTCGCTCTCGTACAACAATGAAGAGGTGATCCTTTCCTTGAAAGAAGAAGCCGAAAAGGAAAAGCGGCACCGGCGTTTCTGGCCACCACTGACGTGGTCCACCACGGTACTCGGTCAGTCCACTGTACTCGGTCCATCTGAACTCGTGGCTGTAGGTCACAACTCGCTTGCTGACTCCGCAAATGCCATCTATTTTTCAGGTTCCTCGCTTGCAAACGCACCTGTCTGCTGCACTTCAAGTACCCCCCCCTTCGGTGGTAAGCAACGTTCTAAATGGACAGTTGCTGCAAGTTGAGCAGCGAAAATACACACCAAACGGCCAAGACGAACAAAACTACATGCCCGTTTGGCATTGGATCATATTGAGTGCATTGTGTTCGGTTTCATAGGCAAACAATGATGAACTACAAATTCTTGTGCAGAGCAAGAGCTAATGAAAAAGCAAATCCGGAACAAGAAGGACTACCCTCACACCAGAACCGGGGTCGGCTATTTTGTTTTGTTTTTGTATAAATTTACGTATACATTGTATTCAGGCCATACCAATGCCTTTACTTTTATACATGTATGTATGTATGTATGTATGTATTTTTTTTTCTAGAGTTGTTGTGTTTGGTGCTCTTTGGCTGGTCTCCTAGGCGGTTTCGCCTCAGTGGGCCTCTCACGGGCTCAGAAAAAGTCAACGGCCATCATGCCCTCGTCATTGTCTGCCTCTGCCGTTGCATCAAGCAAGGTGGGAAAGTGCAAACGTCGAGGCGTTGGTCCGGCAGCAGAGAGTGCCTCAGGTGCCTGGCCTTGTGTGTGTGGCTGGCTATCATTGTCAGGGGTGCAGACTCCTTCAGGTTTCTTTTTGAAGTAGTCGCTGAGAGGCGGGGATGTTTTCATGCCAGCGCCCTTGCAGGGTCTTTGGAGAGCTTGTGTGGAGATGACCCGCTTCTCTCCATCAAGGTTGGTCTGGGTGCCACATTGAGTGCAACGAAGACGGTCCCCTTTCTGCCAAAGTGCGTGGCTGTGGTGTCCTGGATTGTTGCCAGTGAAAGCCTGGTCAACGCATGGGCTGGCAATGAAGAGTTGAAATGCTTCTTCATTGACTCTTTTGTGGATGTTGAGTCTACACTTCAGGCATTTGAGATAGCCTGTGGTTTCTGCATAGTGGTGCTCCTGTTGGCTCGGTGGTGTCTGGTGCTGCTGTGTTAGCAAGTCCTTGATGACCTGTGCCCGAGTGGTCTTCTTGACAGGAAGTGCCGTTGGAGCCATGGAGGGTTGGCAGGCTTCCTCAAGGAGGAGTTGTGGGCATTCCTCTTGAAGCCTCGTTTCCAGGATTTGCTTGGTGAGGCCTTGATGCATCCTGGTGCCACAGGCCATGCATTGAAAGCCACTCCTGTGTGGCTGCCAGCGGTGATGGGGTTCAACCCATGGTTTGGTACATCGTTTGACCAAGTCTCTTTTGAAGTCTTTGGTCATCTTGCCTTGGTGCCTGGGTGCTTTTTGGTGAATGTAGTGCTCCGGGTCGTCATAGATCTTGCTCAGCCGCTGGATGGCATGTGTGTAGATCAGATGATGATCTGCGTCAAGGGTGGCTTGCCATTCTGTCTGTCTGTGATCTTGGAAGGTCCGGGCTCGTTCCCAGGCTGCTAATGCACAATCCCTTTGTCTCCTCCTGAGCTGGGGCTCATTGCCAGGAGCCTCCGGTGTTCTCGTGTTCCTTGAGACGTACAGTACTGTGATGCGTGCAAGTCCTGCTCTGTGATCTCTGCAAGGAGATCCTGGTATGGTGCTCTGCTGCGTGGTTGGTGCCAAGCCTCCCAGACCGTGGTGAGCTGCACGATGACCCGAACCGGTGTGGTGGTGAACTTGGCCAAGGCCACAACTCCTGCGATCAATGCCCTGGTTTTGTTTTGCTCCCCACTTGCCACCCCGTGAGGGCTCCAAGGCGTTGCAGTTGTCCTAGGTTCATGGTGCGCACACAAAGACCGTAGACCCACATTTGATCACGGGCGTCATATGATGAGGGTGTGGCATCAAGGGTGAAAGCCCAGCTGTTGTGCTGTTGTGGTGCAATAGGTTCCAAGCCTGCCCAGCACCCATGGCCTTGGAAAGGATGTGCTTGCTGACGGTGTTCTTGTGGTTCTAAAGGGATCCAGCCTGCCGTCCAGAGTGGGTCTTCTTCATGGCTGGTGATGCGGTTCATCCATTCTGGTGGCATGGGCTCGTGCTTTTGCTGCCTATGCCACTTGCAAAGCCACAAAATGTGCTTGGGTGTTGCTGGGGTGTTGCACAGTGGGCAGGTCTTGACTTGGGCAGCCTCACGGAACTGGACCGCTGCCTGGACCCACGTGTTGAGATGTTGCTTGTGCCTCTGAGGCAAAGACTTCTTGACTTGATGATAGGTGTGGCCTGCTGGCAATCCTGCTGATGCGTTGCTGCTTGGCCTCCTGGAGCAGGGCCCGTTCAAGTTGCCACCAGGGCTGATGCAGACTGAGTTCATGGGCCTGGAGGAATGGAGTTTCCGGCCTTGTCCAACGCAGGAGGGTGGAGGCTTGCCATCCCCATTCTTGCAGGTAAGTGATGGTAGCTGCCATGGGTCCACGGACAGTGTACCAGGGATGGTCCTTTGTCTGGAGCTGGTGATAGGTGGCCGTCCATGCCTGTTCAAGGGCTGGGAGTTGGTCCTGTGGCCAAGCCTGCAGGAGCTGGTGGATGGCACGGATGTGGTGAATGATGATTTGGTCTCCCGGGTCAATGTAGCGTTTGCAGTGGAGGTCATAGGTGCTGTCAAGGAGTCCGCCGTTGTGATGTCCCAGATGTTTACCCATGGCCTGCCTCAGTGTGGTTCTGTGCCTTGGTGCAAGGCCTTGGCCTTCAATGCCCCACAAGGCAGCTGGCTGAATGCCCCCCCCGATGGAGCCTCAAACGAGTTTTCAAGGCTGGGATTTTCAGGGCTCTCAGTTTGAGCCTTCTGTTCCTGGCTTTGTGCAGTCTTTGTTTCATGACTGGAATTCGGCGGCGCCGGGCTGCCTGGTGGTCAACTCCAAGGTCTCGCATGACGGTTTGCACGGGTGGTTCTCCTTCCTGTAGGATTTCTTTCGAGGCCTTGTCAGTGGCTCGATCGGTGGCAATGAAGGCCGTTTTTTGTGGATTGACCTTGAAGCCAATGTCATGGAGCCTCTGGTGGAGGTCTCGGTAGGCAGAGACTGCCTGTTGAGCGACTGCGGTTGGTGTTTTGGCTGCCGTGTCAAAACCTATGTCGTCTACCCAGCTGGAGAGATGGACTCCTGGATGCTGGGCCTTCCAGGGTTGGAGAGCGGGAGCCAAAACCACCTTAGCCAGTAGCGGAGCTTGAGGGCATCCTGCTGGGACTCCATTCTGAACCTTGAAGAAGGGAGTCATCTCCTGCTCAGCCACTATGGCTTTTGGGCCGGTGTAGACCTGCATGGCCATTTCAAGCATCAAAGGTGGGTATGCAAGTTGTAGTGCTTCCTGTTGTAACCTCGTGAGGTTGATGGTGTCATGGAACGTGGACATGTCCATTAGGCAGGTGACGCCGTGTTGGTGATTGGCTCGGTGGACTTCTTGCCTCAGCAATCTTTCTAATGCCACCTGCAAGACTTGAGCCCCTGGTCTTGCTCGATCATGGTCCATTGAGGCTGGTAGGGCTCGTTGCCATTTGTCCAGCAGAGGCTTTCGGAGGCGGCGCCAGACCCGGTAAAGGATCGAGGTGAGCGTGATTGGACGCTCTTTGCTGCTGTTTTTGGGCAGCATCACAACCATGTGCATCTGCTGTTGTGTTGTGTTGT